TTTTCCTTTCAATTTTCGGGGGATTGACCAATGAATTTTTGAGAAACTTTCACCAGAAGCAGACCTCCCCTAAAAGGCAGAAAATGTCCCTGTCCAGAAAAGTAGCCATTTTGAAAAACCATCCCTCTGCAAAATGGCTCATATAATGCCACTTGCACACTCGATTGCATCCAAATTGCTCAGAATTGGAAGCCCCGAGTCCGGCCCAGAGGTCCAGTCTCATATTTCTTCAATTCCTCAGTTCCATGGCTCTCAGGACCCTCTAATATAGAATATTTTGAGTGTATAACTTTTATCAATAAGCTGGGTGGACATATTTCTAGCCTAAATACGAGGGTGCACCCCTCAGTCCCCTCATATTGTGCACTTGTCAGCCCCAAACCTGCAACACGTAAGAGCTCAGGTGTCACACTCTTCTTATTTTCCTTTGAAGGAGCATTTAGGCCCTGTGTTAAGTAACATCGGCCAGGATGTGTCTTCGTTACTCCTGCAGAATCCTGCAAAACCTCTCAAAGGGATTTTGGATTGTTAAGATTTATGAAACTAAAGTGCAAAGCAGCCGTAACTGAAGGCAGATAGCTGTCATTCGTTGAAATGATGCAAATGTCAGTGCAGTGTCAAACTTACATGTACTTGAACTTAGTAGCAATGTCATTGATTTTGACCAGTCAAGAATTAAATTATGAATAAATGTGTCAAAAAGTGAACGTGAATTGTTTTCTGTTTCATCCTTCAGCCATTTGAGAAGGGAAGGAACATGAAGAGAGTTCACTTTCTGAGCAACGTCAACACCTGCTTAAGGTTCCTGGAAGGCAAGAAGGTACATGTGCAGTGTCTTACTCTACGCGTATTGTAACTGTTTGTGATAGACAAGGTGTGTGCAGACATTGTTTTGCTACATCACCATTGTAGAAAGAGTGGTAACTGACACCATGCAATACATGTGTAAAACCCTTCCCATTCCTTGCGCACAAAATAATCTGATTTTAAATTCTTAATTTGCCACCAAGTTTGTGACGGAGTTGACGGAAGTGATGGAAGGTGACCTGTTTTTGAAGCGGACCCAAGAGCTTGAGGTCGTGCATTTGCAAAGAAACCACATCACAGCTGTGATGGATTAGATATTAAGCTATCATAGTTGGGGAGATCCCACCGTTCCGTAAAAGTCGGCAGGTTACGTGTAACTTTAATTCTGTTTTCTCACAATTCAGATCAAGTTAGTGAATATCAATGCATCAGACATCATTGATGGCAAACCACCGATTGTGCTGGGCCTGGTGTGGACCATCATCCTCTACTACCAGGTAAGTTACACTTCTTTTTTAAACTGAAAGAAAAGCTTTGTTCATGACACCGTTATGTGCATGTAAAAGTGTGTACAAACACCAGTTGGATTCCAGACTAACTTGTGTTGTCACTGACCTACAGGGTCAGGTCAGTGATCATCAGGATGGAATAAGGGGGCTGTGTAACAACGTCATGATTGACTTACAAATTGATATTGCAATGTGAATAGGTAGAAAATGGACCTCATATAATGATATGTAATGTGCCTGTCTTTGACTTGGGCGTGGATTACATTACCTTCTCAGGTTACAGTTACTTGTATTTGTGTCAGAGAGTTTTTTGCGGTACTCATAAGAAAGTCTATTCAGAAAACTACTGTACACTGTACATATAGCAAGGCCAAACTGGTGAAGAGATTTTACAATTAGCACAGAGTTTGATCTGTAAGTATGAGCCCCCTTTGCATGGTTGTGTTGAAAGAGAGGCTGTACAGGCAAGCTTCAGTTACCGGTATTTTGCAAGAGCAACCTCTGTGTTCGTTCCATTATGGAGGAGCAAGGAGCTGATACAGTCATTGGTATTGCTAATTACAGCATGTACATGTACATGTATGAATACACATACATGTACCTTTAGTACATGTAATAAGCCATTGTGTGCATTGTACATTCATGCCAGCTTTGTGTGGCCAAAGAATATATACACGTTTTACCATCCTGCTACTGGTACAACAGAAGAGACAGATTTTTGCTCATTTCATGGCTTCTGGTTGAAAGAAAAGCTTAGAAAGCTTCTGGTCTGTAAAATCATGCTAATGGAATTAATTTCAACTTGCTGATTGTACTGTACATGTAGGTACCTGCGGAGATATCTGTATATAGTACCGCAATTCATTATTGGGCTTAAACAGCACAATTTTATAAGCAAAAAGAAAAGAAAAGACTAATGCTTTCTTTAACTTTTAATTAGTACTAATGGCATTCATCAAAGCCATGCAGTATGACTTTGCAAATTTTTTTTTTGGCAGGCCAAAAATAAGTTAAAGTTATTGGAGCTAATATTACTCTAGACTGTGGGGTCCCTTTTTAAGTTGTGGACATACACGCCTACTAGTAATTACATGTACTTGTTCGTATTTACATGCTTGTGAGATATCACCCAAGTAATTGATCAACCTGGAAATCAAATGAGCTTAAAAAACTCTTTTGTCAGCCAAAGATGTCTATTTTCAGAAACATTTTGTTCAGTAGTTCGAAGGAGAATGACACATATGTACCCGTATGGCATTCTTCATTCTCGGAAATAAACTAAAACCTGCAGAGGAAAGTGTTCCAGTAACACGCAGAGTATTCAATTAATTAAAAACTTGAGAATATAAGGGCTTCATCAATAACACCTTATTACAGACAACTTGGGAATTAATTTGACAAATTGACCATCAAACAGTGAAACAGAGTTCTTAAAGTGCCAATGCTGGAGACTCGGCAGTGGTGTAGGGTTGTCAAAGTTCACCAGGCGGTTCCAAAAACCCTCAGGTCTGAGGTATTTAGGAAATTTAATAGCCCACTCCTCTCCCCAATTAGGGTCAAGTTTGGGGAATTCATTATATTTGTTAAGTGGTGCAGGTGTTGAGTTATTGCCCTCAAGGTGTAATGGTGGATTTGTGGGGAGTTACAAGGGCATTTCAATTTTGAGTGGTCAGCTTAATGGATAGTTTAGAAGCCTGCTGTGATGAGATTGTCCACAGTCCACATCAGAGCCAAGGCTGGGCACAAGGTTTATTAGTGTGCCAACTGCATCAAAAACAAGAACGATATTTGTTTAAAAAGGATTAACAGTTATGGTTTATTCAGAGTGTGAGTTAAACTTTCTCTGTTGAACCAACAAGAAACAAGAAGAACAAAGAAAGAAAGGTGTTGAACCTGTAACCATTTGAGCATGGTACCAATACCCCATCAGCCCCATGTTGGTGGTCATCTTAATTTGAGATTTTTCCCCCCAAATTTTAGGAGCTACAGTGTATAGTGCATAGTTGAGTATATTTTGCAAGAATGGTTCCACCCAGACTTGTACCATCATTATTTTGACCAGTGTAAATGAATATGTCTGGACTTTCCTCTGTTTTAGCAGATATTTGTCACTTCAAATGTCATGAAATTAACCTTTACTAACACAGCAGGATAATTGTAGCGAAATTGTACAAAATGATTTTCTGAGATAAATTGACTGAAGTAGCACATATGACACTGATGCTTTTCTTCTGTATACATGGACGTGTAAGTTACAGATTATAAGAAAGCACCCCTTTATACCATAAGTGTTAAATAGTTTTGCTGTGGCAAATATCACTTGACAAGAAGCTGGAAAAGTTACATTGATATGTACAATGTATGTACAATGTGTGTTTGAAGGTGTGGCCTATCATTGCTAGTAGCTGCTATAGAAGAGGTTTCTGCTTCTTAATCCAACAGCAACTCCTTGAGATTGGGCCTAGCTTAGTGCATGTGTGAAGCAGTTTTACATGCAGGCATGTTATGCATGCTTATGACTGGCTTATGTTCATTTCTCCCTCCACTTGATTCCAACCATTTAATTGATTAGATTTCTTTCCTGGTTTTGAAGCTGCAGCCTTTATTAATACAAGGGCTATTCCTGTAATAAGTTGATTTTGCTTATTTCAGATTTTGCAAAATTCCAGTGTGCACTATTAAGTTCTTCAAAGTCCAACTTTATTGTTACACTTACGTGTAGCTGTATATTTCCCTCCAAAAGCTTTCCTATAATTTATTTTAATGTGATTTACTTTCACCTGAAATGAAATTTTACAGTTCCCTCCTTGAGGAAAAGTGTGCTTTAGTGGTCAAATTTCAAGAATAACTTTGATAAAACACTCGGAAATTATTCTCTTCTAACCTTAATCATCTGTATTAGTACTTTTAAAAATACTTATACCCCTGTCAAATTTTGATACTCAACACAAACTAAAAAGACATTGAATTTGTATGCCATTTCACAAGTTACGTGCAGGCTAGTGCGTTTTTATGAAATAACTGTTACAGATTTCAAAATTTGGTTGAATTTGTTAAATTTAACATCTGTCTGTTTGTTTGGGGGATTTATTTGGGATAGTCTCTGTTTTTTGCTTTTTAATTTCCTTTTTCTTTCGAAGAAGTTTAAGTTGTTTAATTTCAAAAATGCCTTCCTACCATGCCAGTGTCCATGAGTGTGTGTAACCATAGTAACCCCGCCCTCCAAATTGCATGGCCTAATTGCACGTTAGATGAAAGACCTGTTGGAATCGGATGAGGAGGGCTTCTGGTTTGGCCTGTTCTCATCCCAAGGGTCAAAGGTGGCTGTGCACCTCTTCTGTGGCTGCAACATCCGTCAAATGATGAGGCTGTTGGCGATGTGGAGCCAGTCCCAGGTCAGCTATCCCATCATGCCATGTTTTTCCTCCCCTGGTACACCATTCATCCATGCGGTAGAGGCCACCCAATGCTACATGTATAGGAGTGCAGATATCATCCGAAACACTGCGTCCTCTCTTGACGCTCTTTTCTGCTGCTTTCTTCCCACAGCTAATCCTCACAGTTTGCCGTGCTCTAATTTCTTACATATATTTGATCACCTTCTGTTCTACCTTTCAGACTCGCCCTTTTTTCCTAACAGCCATTGAGATGTTGACCGACATTACATACGAGCATGTGCCAACCTCACATACCTACATGTAGTGTGGACTTGTTGACAAAATAGGTCCAAATGAAGCTCCAATTCAGGGTGTGCAAACCTTGCGGTTCCACTCCCTGATGAACAGGTTCAGAGGCATTTTGGGGTCAGGGTTGTCTGTAGCTAAAGGAAGAGAACAGTATTCAGGAAACCAACAACTAAAATCCAGCCTTAAAAAGTGTTCACTGTTCAAGAAAAATGACTAATTTCACTGAGTTTTCTGAACAGAAACAAAAGAATGACAATACTACATGTGTAGGTGGGTAATGTAAACATGCATGATTTTATTTGTGTTTGAAATGTTTTTAATGTATTTTAAAAACAGGTTTATTTATCTGCTTATTCTTTATAGAAGATTCTAGTGAATTCATACTTGAAATAAAAGCATTAGCATTGGAATTCCCTGATTTTGAAAATGGTTCCAACAAGTTAATTTGACCCAAAAATTTAAATGAAATATGAATCTGGCTCACCTTCAAGATGACGTGAAACCCTCAACCATTTACATACACTCCTCGATTTTTGACATGAAACAGTTTTACTTCCTGAAAGCAATTTTCCTTCAAACATACAACCTGCTTGTAATGTGTAAATGTTCTGATGGCTGATGTCTGATTGATCTGCTGTGAATGAAATAAAATGAATGAAAAAAGCCGGTTTATAAAACTAACATCCAGGAATTTTTTGGTGTGAAATTTTTGCAGATCAGACATGAGGGTTTGGTGAGTGTGGCATTCATTTTGCAATGTTGCTTGCAGATGCATAATCAATTCTGCATTGTACCCCACTGTATTGATAGCTGGTTTGTGCAGAAGGGCCGACTGCAGTGCATTTGAATGGAATGAGCAAGCCATGATGTTGATTCAAACTGGGTGTGTTAGGCAGCCATTCAGTCTATGGGTGTCAAGCTCGTGGGTTGTCTGGTACCATACTGGCACTTGACGTTTAGATGTGTAACATAACGTGTTATGTCTGCTTAGTATCAGTGGGTGAATACTGAACCAGAGATGACATCGTAGTGAACGCTGTGCGTGTTTTCATTGTACGTGTTCATTGGTAGAAAAGCATGGCACAAAATGTGCATTTAGCAAAGGACAACTTCATTGCCACAGTCATTGTTCCGTGGATTCATTTTTTGAATAGCACCTGTTCGTTGTGAAGTTATAACAAAATATGCCGATTACAGATCCAGCCACTGGCCATGTACCTTTATTGTGTCCTAAGGCCAGATATTCTTACCATGATCGAAGTGTTGGATTTCGGAAAGGTCTTGTAAAAATCTGAAGACGAA